TTAGATATGTGTATTTTCCTAAGATGATTTTTCTTGAATTCCGTTATGCGATGATTACGTATTTAATTTTATAACAAGTTTAACGAATATTTTAAATATGCAAAATACATGCGAGAAACTAGGACAACTATACGCTTGACCTCCGAGTCTTTCCCACACTCACTATCTCTGTGTGCCGTGATAAAGTCTGTCTTACGTAGCTATCAATATTAACGGTAGCTGAAACAAATATCTTTAGATATTCATTCTTAAAAAATGCGTTCATGACGCATTTATTAATTACTCGCATCGTATAATCAAGAAAATTCAAACTGCTCAAACTGCAAAGTAAAATAAATTACGCAACAAAGCACATAAAAAGTAATTAAAACAACGTCTAATTATTATTATTATAAGTTACACGAGAGACATTAGTACGCGTAAAAAGTACATCGCAGTTGTTCAAATAAATGTTATTAAATGTACTACACTATACATCGTTATACGCCGTAAGTAGCGAACTGTTGATCTATCCATTGACGATGTTGCGATACGCTGGCGTATACCGCAGGAACATTAGCTCCACAGCCGATACCCCATGACACAATGCCAGCCTAAAATAAAAATTTGACAAGCCTATCTCTCTATCTTTCAATATAAAAGTATCTGAGAGTCTAGTTTTAATTTAATTTAAGAACAATAATAAAGTTTAATTAATTAAAACCGTAAAATTAACAATAAATAAATTAAAGCCGTACAATTATTACGATAATTAGAACATAGAGAAACTTGAAGGACTAAAAAAATACTAAATCCATTTTGCTTTGCTCGCCACTTAATTCTACCGCAGATAAAATATTTTTTATAAAACCTGATTCGCACACCTGAAAGTACTGTCCCGTAGAGGCTTGACAAACTAAAGGTCCGCCGCCGTCACCACGACACGTGTCTTTATTTGCCACGCCGCCAGCGCAAATAAACGAACCATGTAGTTGAAAGTACTGACCCAATTTCGTATTTCGTAAACGTGTCTGGCAGTCATCTCGATCGATGATAGGAAGATTTACTCTTCGAAGCTCAGCTTGATACTTCCCTTCCGGTCCTAGAGCGTAGTTACGAGTGAGTGCCGATTTTGAGGAACTCCGCAAGAAATGATGTTTACAAACTCGACTCGAGGCTCACCGAACGAATCACTGCCCCATCCTATTCCGTAACAACTGGTCCCAGCCAAGAAGACCATACCTTGTTCGGGAAGGCAAATCGGCAGGATATTCGCACCATAAATAACTGGTTTTTCCAAAACAAGAACAGCTACATCATGGAACAGCCCGTCGTGGTAAAATGACGGGTGTATAGCTATCGCGAGGATATTCACCTCTTGGATAGGCAACGGTTGAACATTACTTCCCAAGTTCCACTGGCCGAAGCGTGCGATCAAGTTTTCAGGCCGTTGGCTATCAGAAAATTAAGATGAAGAAAAAATAAACCAATTAGATCTAATGTAAAGTCGAAATTGCAAATTTTGAAAAATTATATTTTTTTTACATCGTTCATCTGCACATACTTTTCAACACAGTGGGCTGCAGTAAGGATGGCTCCACTGCTGATCAGTGAAGCACCACAATGAAAAACGTAAGGATTGCTAGATTTTAGGAGAAGCGCGACCATCCATGGGAATTCAGCAAAATAGGTTTTCTCGGAGTCAGGGGGGTAAGCTGCGCTATATAAACGACTGGAGTCATTGTCGAGTACAGCTTAAGTCAGATATACTGTTTTAAATTTCTTTTTTGATTTTTCTTTTTTATATAGACAAAATTTTGTCGAATAGAACAACTTGTACTTACGCGGGGCGTAGTTATTGTTTTGAATACCACAAGTGACCCGTGAAGATGAGCCATCGGATGTTCTTTTCGTGAACGAATTTCCAGATGAGGAAGCGCGAAAACTCTGAAGATTGATTCCAACGAGCCGACAGCATACTTGATCCGTCGACGAGCACACCGTAAATCTCGAGTCGATTATGCCCAAACCATCCGGACTGACCGCGTTTCCTTCGGAACACAGCCAGCTCTTCACGCAGTAACACTCCTGCGATGTCCCCGGATTCTTCACCGGGCCTAGATCCATAGTTCGGATCGGATTTGACATTTTGACATTTTGACAGGACGGTAAGTTCGTCATCGAGCAGATACTCCCATCCGTTAGGACCTGAGAGACTCTGGGATCTATCATGCCACCACCACCGGGTGAGATGACGACCATGCATGTGAAACATATAGTGATATTGCCGCACACGAAGCACAGCTGCGTCTGTCCAGGTGTTCCGGTCGTGGGTGGCATCGTGGTCATCGTGGTCGGCGGATTCGTCGGCGGCAGCGTCGTGTTCGCCAGGATCCTGCAGCAGACCTGAGTGCCGGGGCACAGTCCATACCGAGGATTTATCACACCCTCGCCGGAGATGGTGACTATCCCGTTAGGGTCGCACAGCGATATATCCACGCAGATGCAATACGGAAGTCCGGTCGGAGTTGGCGATGGACTTGGTGGAGCTGTAGTTGGTGATACAGTTGGGAATGTTATCGTAGGTACTGTCGGTGGCAGCGTCGTGTTCGCCAGGATCCTGCAGCAGACCTGAGTGCCGGGGCACAGTCCATACCGAGGATCTATCACACCCTCGCCGGAGATGGTGACTATCCCGTTAGGGTCGCACAGCGATATATCCACGCAGATGCAATACGGAAGTCCGGTCGGAGTTGGCGATGGACTTGGTGGAGCTGTAGTTGGTGATACAGTTGGGAATGTTATTGTAGGTATTGTTGGTGATACAGTCGGAAATGTTATTGTAGGGATGGTCGGCGGCATAGTAGGTACCGTGCCATTTGGCGGGTAGCAGCAGACCTCGAAGGGTCCGGTACATTGCTCGGCACCTGCACTGTACACAGTTTATTTTAATTATTTATATAAAGTATTTTAAGGATCGACTCCATCAATGCCGATTAAGTTGAAATTTAATTAAGTTAGTGATGCAATACTTGAAATTTAGAACATGAAAGGAATAACAAATAACAAATAACAAAAATAAATCAATTTGGTACTAAAAATCGAATAAAACTCGAGAGAGTAAAACCGAATAAGAACCAAGATAATTAATAGTCAAGCAAAAGATTTATAAAATTATAATAAAAACAAAACGATAAAATAAGATTAAAAAAAATTAGATATAAATAAAAAAAAAACTGAACTGAATAGAATTAATCGACTTTAATGAACTGCGCAATATCGATTGATCGCCCTAAAAATGACTCACCGAACATCGATTATTCCTGATCCGTCGGTGATAATAGTCTGATTACTATCGCATAGATAGAAAGGTACGCAAATGCAAGCTCTGGTCACCGGGGCGGCGGTGGTGGTCGGGATCCTGTCTAGCTTCTGATATTGCGGTTTGTGTTTAAGCAAATGCAAAAAGAATATAGATGACGAATCGGTGAACGGTACTGCATCTCGATTAACGATTCTATTGACGACTTTTCGACTTATGGCCGGTCTTTCGATCCGATTTGCTCTTATCGAGGACGCGACGCCGATCATAATTGTCGTGACGACAACCACGTTCACCAGCAGCACGGAGAGCCCCGACATGACGTGTCGTTACTATCCAGTGGCTCACTGTCTATTGAACGATTTTTTTTTTTTTTTAACGCGAACGCGCATTTATGTATACAGGATGTGCTAGTATTTCCCGGGTTTATGGGGAACGTCCAGATGCAGATATGACGCTAATAGCGTATTAGCCTTTTGTTGCGACCAATTTTAGAAGGCGAAATATAATAGTGGCGCGTCATGCACTGACGTGCGTTTAAAAATGTGAGGGGAAAGAGTAGGGATTCGCTGAAATGTACAAAAATGTGACAAAAAAGAAGACACAAGAAAATAACATGTTTAGATGATAATACGGAGAAATCACAAAAATTATTTATGCGCTATATATGAAATGAGATAAATCAAATAAATAGATATACATATTTTTATATAAAATTTAAAAAATATTTAAATATTATAAATATAATTATACTGCAAAACAAAAAATAATCGAATATAAAGGATTAATTCAGCTAGTAGCCGATTTTTTAAATAAATATGAAATGTAATATTGATATTGATCATTTTATATTTAAATTTAATTGTAATTTCGTAATGAATATACTTATGTATGCGAAGGACGATCCGTTTAACTGGTCGAATACAAAGGATATGACCTACTTACTTGATAGCCGACATAAAAAATGGTGTTAACATCCTTGCAAGTTGAAATAATTGAATAGAATTTTAGAATGCTAACTGCGCTGTTAAATAATGTTATTGATTAATAATTATTGAACTTTACAACGTGACAATTAAATTTAATAATGTAAATTGGATCAATTATAATAAAATTTTACATTAACAGTTAATTAATTTATAAAAAGGATAAATTCTTAATTTAAAATTTTGATATAAAGAAAAATAGGTCATTGCCGAATGAATCAGTTCGATTCATATAAATGAAGGTATCGTGAAAGATGCAGTCACGCAATATCTAACGATTTATTTTCAACTCGTGTAGAAGGATGTAGAAAGTATTACACATAGATTCCCGATAAATTCTGTTATTATACAACACATTATTATACTGAATGAAAAGAGCAAATGAGGAAACGTAACAAAAGCACTATAAAGAAAAGACGCATACCTTTCATTGAAATGCATGTAATTTCTCCATTAATCATTATTAAGTATATAACTTTGTACAAATACATTTAAATAATATATTAATATATTAATATAACGAAATAATAATTATCCTTGGTACAAATGTTGGAATGGCGGGATTATTATGACGATATGCGCAAAAATATAATCTTAAAATAGAAACGAACTCCAAAAAAAAAAAAAAAAAAAAAAAAGAAAGAGGACCGTCCAAAATGCACAAGATTAATTCCGAATAAGCGGAGACTTAATATTGCGTGGGAGGGGGGGGGGGAATATAAACATAAAAATCCAAGATTTCATCGCACGAGCACGCTCGCGTTTTGGATAACATATATATATAACGAAGCTCTAAGTTCTATGTAAAAATTTTAATCGGTCAGGTTCCAACACTCGCAAGTGGGAAGAACACGTAAATCGGATGAGCGCCTCGATCGACATCGGAGGCGATAATTACGGCAAAATAAATATTTATACAAATTGTGTAAAACTGCGCAACTGGACCGCTGGATCACCGTGGGACTTGTCCGAATTGAAAATGTCATTTCTCACTGTTATAAATACCTGCTGCCGCTCTTAATCGCGAACGCCAGTGCATAGGTCTCGGATTACCGTAACGCTATCTCACGCCTCGCTATGAATCAGTCCATATTATGACGGCACCGTGTAGCAACGGCGTAATTCTAAACCGTACGTAAGGTACGAGACGCGTATCTTACGGAGCAAGATCCTTATTTCGCACTATTAAATAGTAGACCTCGTAATAACGAGTCACCAAAAAACATACCACGGCTACTCGCGCGAACATTTTAGAAACGCGCAACACTCCGACGCGCGTCATACAACTAATCTCTTAATCTCTAGTAGGAACATCTTTTGTATATTTCTAAATACTCGACAATCCGGGAAAAATGGCGGGTACAAAATTTCAATATTTATCGCACCGTCCTTTGTAACATTCGGGTAACATTTTAATCTATCTCTTCTATTTTTCTTTTTTTTGGTCTGATATAAAAAGCTTTTAAAGCATCTCAATCCCTGAAAGACGATACTCAATGAAATAGTTTCGCAACGAGATTGAAAAATACCGAATAGTTTTCTTCTGACGTTTTTAAATTCTTTAGTATCAAACGTGTTTATCTCGAGATATATCTATCTTTAATGAAAATATTGGTGTAATAATATATATATATAAATTACAAGACATTAGATGCCCCTTTCTGTATCTGAGAAATCGCTGCTTCTAAAAATTACATATACAACTCTATGAAGTAATGGCGTTTAAATTATTTATTACAATTAAAACTAAGCAAAAAAATTTTAATTTTTTTTTTTTTTAAAGAATTGAAATGCTTTAAAGATTGGTAAGAATCATTCGTAACATAATCCACTAAATATCCTAAATAAATTTGTGAAAATTATCTAAACATTAGTCACTTTCATCTAATCTATTGAAAATAGATTATACCAATAAACACGGTACTAAATTAGATTGTCTTATGCTACATATATCTTATGCCCTACACTTCGAACATTTTATCGTATAAATATAACAAAAAAATAAAAAAAAACCCCCTCTCAAATTTTCCTGAAATTTCAAGTTAACCTGTAACAATAAATAAAACACTTCAAATTTATCTAATGGGTGATAGACAGGTATATAAAGGAGAGAGAGAGAAAAAAAAACTACACACTTTCTCTTACAAATTTGTCCCCACGTAATTCGCATAAACTTTATAAATCTTTTCGAATAATTAAAAGGAAATCATATTTGTTGAGGGAACTCCAAGAAGTTCAGTTCGCAAGTTTTCTCCCTCGAAAACAAAAACATATCAAGCTGAGAAATATATCATCTTCTCTACTGTCTTCTCCTTACCCTCTCAACGAATATAATCTTTTATAATTTTTGTACACATTTTACTTTCTAACATATACGTATATATGTATATATTTATATATACAGAGCGCGGTAACAATATGAAAGCGTGTCCTTTAGCGAGTCTCGAAGAAACATCGGTAAGAAGCATCGACTGGGGAAAAAAATCTCGCGCCTTCCACGTCAGATCCGCGAAGCGAAAGCCGCGTACACAAAACACGAAGAAGCGCGGCTTTAGCGGCAGCTTTTGTTTCAACGGCCTTGACAATATCACGATGAAACTGACAGCGACGACACCTCGTAGCTGCTTGTTCCCCGAAATGGAATACGGCAATAGCGCGATACAAAATGTACAAAATTGAGAATAAATTTTATACCGATATATGGATGAATGGATAAGTAAATGGGGCGGAAGAATAAATTAAATGCTAATCGGTAAAAATATATAAAAATTAATTAAGCACGATTATTATTAAGATACCGGTGATGAAGAGACACACAGGGATTATCTCACGCGAAGGACACGCTTTCACGAACGAAACATTGACATCAAGATGATAACTCATGCGCACATAAAATTTATACATTTTGCAACGCTACAAGATGTCAAAAATATCACTACTCGTACAAGAGCATCGAGATCAAACGATCATATTTTCATATTTTCTACAGTAGATAGTACGAATTTGAAAAACTGGTATAAAAGTGCAAGGCATAAATGATATGCGCATAGTTATCTCTTATACATTTTAAGAGTGACTTCCTTATATCTACATATATTCTATAAAATATAAAAACTATAAACATTTCGATATAATATATAATTACATTAGCTTAATTTTTAAGAGTTGGTAACATTAACATATACCTTGTAGATTACTAGTTTCATTGGTAATAATTCGCGAAGTAAGATGCAATCACGATGCATAAATCACATAAATCATCGAAACGTTCCACCGAACGTCGTAATGAAAAATAAATAAAAATAAATTAAAATAAAGATGCGCATCTTCCTGATTGCAAAGGAGTTTGGCGAGTTTTAACTTGTATACTCTATGAGAAGGAAATAAAGCTTTAAATATGAGACAATATAAGACTAATGCTGATAAATTTTAATGAAATGTCTAGGCAAGACTTTTATTAAGACTCGTCTTGTTTTGCTCTTTCTTGCTAAAAAGATCGTTGTCATCTCGAAGTCATGGTGAATTAAGAAACGTGATTTTTTTTTTTTTTAATTAAGAATGTGTGCAGTGAGTAAATTTTGTACACGATTTTCGTTCTCTGAAATACCTCTCTGAAGTCAATGCCGTCGGTAATCGTAAATACTGCATTGCACGAAACAATGCAAATCTCTATCCCTTGACGATTCATGTATCCAGTAGAATACCCAGTCAAAATTATCAAGTCTTCAAAAAGTTAAAGAAAGCGCCAAATCTCGACATATTTGTTACGTCCAAAGCGTAAACTCTAACGAACTTTTCTCTTACTGGTCATCGTATTGATACTCTCGACAAATAAAGCTTAACAGTATAGGAACCATATGGCATATCGGAATACAAATAAATCACGTCCGTAATATCCAGAGCGTGATACATGCATAACAGCGAAGCCCCGTTTTAAAATGGATTTCGCAAATTATGGATCCATCCCGTTCTCTCTCGCGGAACATACGGACGGGAGAATATTCATACCGAAGATCTTTGAGATTTTGCAGTCTCGTCATCATCAAGAAATCACAAAAGCATCCTTGTGTCCGTCTCGAAATATGCCGCTTATTTCTACCATTCATCCAAGGAATAACCGACATTTTTCGTAGTCAAGATATTAAATATCTTGAAACTGTTGCGTGTCGAGGACGTAATACCTAAACCGAATTTGCTCTAAAAAAATTTCCCCCTGTACGTTTTATAAGTATAATTGCTCACATTTCTTTCGTTAACCAGAAATCGCATTTAACTCTAAAGATGCGTCGTAACAAACATCAAACATATACACGTATCACCGAATCAACCTGTGTCGCGATTCGCGAAATACGCATATATCAGTTCTCGCTCCAAATCGAGAGGTTCATTTTATGAGTATCGTTTCCGACGCGTTAAATAAAAGGTAAATAAGAAGTATAAATAGAAAGAGGTAGAGTAGATTATATCACGGATATTACATATCAAAAGTATAAAAGCTTATATATATATAATAAAAAAAAATTATAAATATATATATATATAAAAGAATGCAAGAGATGCCAGCGGAAACTAACTGATAAAGTCAAATTTCAATCTCGATTTAGGATCAGCGTTACGGCGTATTTGTACGAGTGTGCGAGATCACGTCGGCTGTCAGTATTCACGCTACAGACAAATGTAAATATTAAGTACGAAAGAGAAATATTGTATACAGTAATCTAGGGAACTAGATTGTCTGACTCGTTGGCACTTGGACGTGTACGGGGATAGCCTCCGTCAGCAGTTGATATCGACATGCGCTCAAGGTTGTTGTGCTCCTCTTATTCCTTCCTATTTGAAAATCTCGCTTAAAAAATATTCTTTCCAAAATGTTTGTTAAGAGACAATAGGGTCAGTGTGTTAGAGGGGGGGGAAAGGAAGTTGTATTCCAATTTTTAAGTAATCATCTAGTGATTCACACCAATTAACGGTGATTATAAATTAAATTCCAAAAATAAATTAATCAGACGCTTTCGTTTGAATTACATGCACGTAATAAACATCCGTGTATTCTGCGTGATAAAAAAAAAATGCGAACTTCAATCTTCAATTTAATTTTTTTTTCGCAATATGATCAAGCTCTCATATTCTGTACGCGACAATAAAGATATATTAACGTAGTGTTCGGATCCATTTTATTTTATTTTATTGTTTTTTTTTTTAATTTATATCAACGTAGATAAACGTAAAACCACTTTGCAAATTTTATTGTAACATTTATCAAATTTTTCATATTTTAAAACAACAATTGTTTTATTACATCTCTCTTTATATATTTGACACATCGGTGTAAAAAACACACACAGTATTACGTAATAAATTTCAATATATTTAAAAAAAAAAAGGGTAATATAAAAATGTAAAAATCTTGACAGGGGAGTTTACTACTTTTGTTAAGAGTTGTTAGATTTTCTTAATCTAAGTAACACAACAACACGTTATACTTTGTCATAACATATTGGAACATTTTCTGTACACAATTCATTTGCACATTATAATCGAAATACACATTCACGTGTATCCGTTAATAGATATATCCATACATATTCACAAATTCATTATCATCATGTGTGTATATTCTGTACAATTATTACTATAATCCTATCTTGTTAAAGATAGAAAATGTTCCACGGCAACGTGGAAAGTGTCGGAAATTCTTACTTGCTGCGACGTTTGCCCGTAGAGTTCCTCAGGAATTTAAAGGCATTTGCTGTACTAATGGTACCAGGATTATACGGGCCCTTCGGACAATACTTAACTGTGTGTGCTGCGTCACCACACGCGCCGCAAATCGGACAAGTGTAAGCCCTATACACGTCAACCAAAAAAATCATCAATATCAATATCTATATACACATACAATAAACGCGAGAAATTTAAAACGTTAAAAAAGAGAGGAGATAAATTCCGAATATCAAGTTTCAGGAAATCTTTATCCGCCGAAAAATATCTTCGGCATCGTAAAGCATCGTTATTATCGATTATAAGATTATAAAAAAAAAATAATATAAACATTTCTTTCTTTGCTTTTTCTATTGAGCAAAATCGCAAAAAAAGGCATCAAGTTATTATCATGTTTATCACAACATGGAATTCTTCGGAAAATAATTGTTATTTTTTTATCATTTTATCTTTTTTATATTTTTATTTATAGATTTTCTTGTTTAGATATATTGTCTTGATTTTATCGTTGTTGTAAGTGTCGCAAAAAGATAGTATGTTATTTCTTGCATAAATTTAACTTTCGGATCAAAAGATTTATAAAAATAAATATCGTAAGATGTATTTTAAGAATGAAAAAGCCTTTGTTCTCTCGTTTTAAGAATGAAAAGTTCTTGTTGCTCGAAATTTAAAAATTTATATCCTAAGCAGTCTTATTTAGAACAAAAAGTATACGGTTTGTCTTTTGGAAAGAGACAAATTTAACAAAGAGACAAAGAACACAATTGTGAAAAAAAGCATTTCTTTTCTATAGACTTAACCCATTTTAAGTATGTTCGTGTTTACGACACACGCCTGTCCACGCTGTATTTCTCATATGACATATGGTCGATGGTAAAAGAAATAGAACTAAAAAGCAAAGTGTTTTTCTTTTCTATATTAATTTATTTTATCCGATGTAAAGAGGTAAGGCGCCTGTGATAAGAATAAGTGGACATAAACATCTATCGGAAAAATATCGGAAAATGCCCAAATTTTGACACTGCTCTTGTAGCATTATATTTTAATAAAAAAAAAAAAAAAAAAAAAAAAAAAAAAAAAAAAAAAACTAAAAGAATATCTACTACTAAGATTTACCTGAGGACAGGACACAAAATACGTCCGTCGACATCTTTTAGCAAGTGTTGCCGATAGTACGTTTCCTCCTCTCCGTTGTTTCTACAGAAAACGCATTCCGTCGGCAACGGCTTTTTATTCTTTTTTCGTCGTGGTGCATTTTGTTTCGACGAGTCTGTATCCACAACATCTGGACAATACTCGAAGTCGCGACCATTATGTCGAAATTCCTCCATCACTTCTTCAACTGCAACGAAGAATACATGATCGTTCAAAAAAGTTCATAGGATATAAATAAATAGAGGAGATAAGAGCCGAATATATCTTTCTCTTCTGGCAGTTTGCAACTCTGGAAGAAAATTAAAAATCTAAGTGTCGGTCCGCAATAGGTGTTTAAGTCTTTAAGTCGTAAGAAATTGACCAATCATAGTCGATTATTCTTTTCATATTCGATTATAATTGGCCATCAATTTCTTACTTCTTAAAAGCTTAAATCGCCTATTGCGGACCGACACTAACGCGTTCGAAAGGAATACATTCCTCTATTCTTCCCTTCGCCTCGAAATCGCAGCGCCCCGAAGTCGACTTCGGTGATGCACGCACAAACAAACGAACGTAATTTGATCGGCCGCGGTTCGTAAATAAATATACACAATGACCACTTTCGAGCCGCGCGGCTTCGAGTGTTTACCGAACGCGATAATCATCGTCATCATCGCCTAACCGCGTCGTTATCGGGAATCGTCACCGTGGAATAAACATATCCTTGCAGGAATCTCAATAGGCATTTGTCTCCTAGCAGATAAAATAAAGCTCATTCGTGGTACGGTGCGGTCTCACTCTCAAAAGATGCTGCGAAAGATTAAGAGGCAAGCCGACGATTCCGAATCGCGCGGTGAGTGCCGCGAGAAGAGACGAACCGATAAACAAACACACGTGACCTTTTTTTCACGTCCCCGAAGAGACGACCATAAAAGATCACGAAGGGTTTTGCTGCACCGCGAAGGGAAAACCCCGTGGAAATATATACGGGCGAGTTGAAAATATACGGTCGAGAGAAATATACTTGATATAAATGTACGCTCTTCCGTTTGTTGTGATTCATACTTCGACTTATCGAGTCGATATAACATTTCCTTAACATTTCGTCAGAAATCGTGCACATTAAAGCGAGGGACGGAAGTTAATGAATAAAGCAACAATTTTGATTAAAGAAATATAACGATATATTATATAATTATTATTCACGCGACACGGGAAATAATTTTTGTTTTTATATATGAGAAATTCAATTACGTGTATTCTTTAATTTAACACGATTCCATTCGATGCAATGTTCAAAAATTCTCGTTCGCATATCTTTCACTTTTTCTTAAGATTTCCTCAATTAGTCTTCAAATTTCGTTTTTCTTTCACGGACACTTCTAAAATGACAAGCTTTTCTAATAATTTATGACGTTCAAAGTTCAAACAGTGATTCATTCTCTCATTAATGACTCACTTCTCATTAATTTTCAATCGTAAAATCTTTTTCACGTTTCAAGATTTACGAATCACTCGTTGTCACAAAAAATGAAAAGGAATGTCGTAAAATTCACTTGCGATACGAATTCCTTCCGAACCCCCTGATGTTCGAACCTTCGACATTTATACACAGTATTTCTGTCGGAAAATGACCCTTCTCTTTTAGACAACACGTGCGTTGTAAATCGCACTTCTTTATATGTTTACATTAAAATAAGATAGTTGCATATCGAAATCGCAAATGCAGAAAGAACAAAACATTAAAGATAAAGCGAAAAATTAAGAAAGATCTATCTCATTAACGTAAAAATATAGAGTACAATGGAAGAAAATATAACGAAAGAATTTATAAGGCATGAGATTCTTTTTTTTTTTCAATTTCTATGTGGATACGTATAAAGATGATTTTTTTTCTCAAGGGTTATAACGCCATAAAACTTAACCCGTTCTTCCCATTCCGTTAGGTTTTCTAAAACTGGACTTACAAACTCTAGAACTTACAAAATCTAGAAAATGCGTCGAACACACACACGTGGTTCCGACTAAATTCCTGTCAGAAATGTGAGAAATATACGAAAAGCAGATTAGAAAAATAGAAGATCGATCATCAAACCCAGTTAGAGATGAAGCAAAGGTATGGATATAGCATTGTCGGAAGATTCATCATTAGTTATTATAACATTCAATAATAATTCTCAAACACGAGATAAACACGAGAGCGAACTTTCGCGAACGGCGTTCAATTTACAAGGATTATAAATAGCGCGGAGCCATCATCTTGTAAACGCAGCGCGAATCCTCGACGGTGTCTCGTAAACAGAAATTTTATAAACACCACGGATCGACGGGTAGAGAAGGGGGGTGTGGTGGTCGTGACGTACCGGTTGGCAGAGGCCTCTTGTTGAGAGTGATGTCGAACAGCCGCTTAATCTCATCGTCCAGGCTGGGATTAAATGGAAACAAAGAATTTTCTTGCAGCATTGGTAACATGCCGCACATGATCCGTCTCGGACACACTACGACGACCCGTCGGGAGATCGGCGAGCCTTTCGGTAAACCGCACGTGTCGCGTTGACACCCCGAGGAACCCGCGAGCACGACTAACCGAGAGATCGGTAAGCTTCCGCAGTCTTCACACGACTGCGAGCGCTGCCCGAAGCTAGCGAACACGAAGATACCCCTGGTCATGTAGGGGGCTCACAGAGAGAGAGGGGACTTTTCTCCCCCTCATACCTGGCTGCGACGTTGGAAAAGTTTTTCGTGATGAACGGGAAGAAGAAAAAAAAAAAAAAGAGAGAGACAAAGCGGTGCCGTCGCGTCGCGTTCAAAACGAAGCCGCCGATTCGCTCGCGCTCGTCGTGTTTACGCGTCGTTTTGTCGGCGATAAGCCTTTCGGCGTCGTTTCCCGGGAGAGACCGTTCGAGAATTCGCATGTGTACCGCTCTCAGGTAGCCCGGCTTTGATCTTTCCGTACGTACGACGTATTAATCATCGGCGATCATCTACCGGTTACAACTTCGACTACCGCAATTTAAAAGTCAGCGGGAATGACCGGCCAACTCCAAGATTATCTACTTTTTTTTTATCTATGAAATGATTATCTATGTAGGTAGACATTGTATACGTTTAAATTCAATCTCGTAGATTTCATCTCGAAGCAATATTTCGACAATGAGATTTTTTTTTATGAATTTATCACAAAGCTATGACGCTTGCTCACGGAGCCGAATTTCGCAATTGGATTCTTAAAAAATTATAAATAAAAGGTCGACACTTTGCACTAATAGTGCAAATCTAATGACAGATCAAGATGACGAGTTTGATTTATTTTATTTTGTTTAGAATCGCATTGTAACAACTTGTAGATAATTCTCCTGATTATAAATCGCAATTATTATAAAGCATTTTTATATTTTGTAAAAATATTTTTTAAATATTTTTAGCAAATAAGTGTTATAAAAATATTTTACGGCTTGATTATATTATCTTTTTATTTTTTAAGAATTTTTTTACTTTGTAACTGATCAACATATTGAAAAAAATTTATCGCACGATTTGAAATATTTCCTTTATGATCACCGATAACTATTGATAACATAATAAATATATTAAAATAGGAATTATTTATTATCATTTAATACTTCTACACGATTATATACCTTGTATGTATATTTATAAATGTTATATAAATTCTCTTTAAATATTATTGATATATATGTATCTTTCTTCCTTTCATTTCCAAGCAACTGTATGTCGAGAACTGGCAGGCGGGGGATCCGAGATTGAAAAGAAATCGGGTGATTTCACTAATTCTTCATCTTTATTATTACTGTGTAAATATGTAGGCACTGAACAAATAATTTCATAATTTGTTTACAAACATTTACACTTACTGATCTTCATCTTTTGTTCAATCAATGAATATTCTTCGCGAAGAGCGCAGCCCTCGGGCTGGCGTTCAGAACCAACCGAGGCTGCCTATATGTGTATGTCGTGTGTATATTTCGCCGTCTATATCCGAGCTTAGTAATTCTTAAACGATAAATATACCGATTATCGTCCTTACG